TAATAGAGTTAATAGCCTCGAACAGTAAGCAGCCATCTGCAAATAAACGAACGAATACTCACGCTCTTGTCGATGCATGAGGTTAAATCATTATTATAAATTGAGAAAAATAGCGGTCCAAGGACACTTCCTTGCGGGACACCAGAATTTACAGAAAGGGGATTTGAATGATGACCGTCTACATGGACAAACGGTTTGCGCATTTTTAGATAAAGGGAAATCCATTTTACAACCGTACGGGGATAGCCAAGCTCGTTAGTTTGAGTAAGGTACCGGAATGGGAGAGAGACCCTATCAAATGCTTTGGTCAAGTCGAGAAAGACTCCGTCGACTTGGCCGGGTTTGTCGACTATTGAAGCGAAAGAATGAATAGTAGAAATAAGTTGTATGGTAGCGGAATGGCCTTTACGGAAGCCATGCTGAAAAGGCGAGATGATGTTACCGTATTTACTTGAGCAATAGCCGCACTGATTATGAAGAAAACCTGAGGGTTCGTTTTTCCGCGGAGCACGCAGATTGCCAGTCACCGCGATCGACAGCAAGACTCCAGCTGTTTACAGGACAGAGATAACGTCTTTTTGAGAAGATCCCATCTGTGAAGATTGAATTTGTATGGAGAATCGTATTCTCGATCTGGTTATTCGCTATGTTATTTATGCGCAACGCAATGATTGGCCGTATATGTGTTCTGTGGGAAACTAGACGCAAGGGTTTTGTTCATAAATAGTGCTACTATTACTCGAATAAATACGGTATGCTTATTTAAGAATTCAGTCATGTAATTAGAAATGATATGTTCTAAGAGCTTACATGATGTGCTGGTGAGCGATATGGAACGGTAATTAGTTAACAGTGAACAATCTCCCTTTTTAAAAACATATCGTTTTTTTCAAAACAGGTACAACCCGTTCAATACGCTAATCTGAGGAAACTAGCAATCTGAGCAAAGCTACCTAGTACTTTTGTACTAGGTAGCTTTGAGGCGGGTCCCAGATGACACGCGCAAATTCTAGAATCGACCTGATAAAAGAAAAAAAAAATATATATAATATCTGTTTCACGCTACGTGATATGTTTTTTTTTTTTTTAATTCCTGCAGTCAAAGTACTACATTTTACTAGATTTGGCAAGAGTATAATCAATGTGACACCATTCCATTTTAGATTGGACGAAAGATAAACTCCCAGGTACTTACAGCTGTCTACACGTTCAAGTATTACATTTTTCAGTTCCTATTTCAGTTGGGCAAGCTATACCACGTGAAAAGAACATATTTACACCTTTGTTTTTATTTAAGCTCATTTCCCAGCGGTCACACCCACCTTGCAGTACTTCTAAATCGTCCTGAAGTACACAAGCATCCGCATCATGTTCAACTCTTCTGTATTTGTCATTATGTATACATAATCGTCCGCAAATGATTTAACGTGAGATTGTACACCTTCACAAATGTCATTGATAAATATAAGACATAACAAGGGCCCCAGCACACTTCCCTGTGGTACCCCTGAGGTTACTAGAATGGACGAAGATTTCTGGCCTTTCAGTACGGCACTTCGTTCACGACCGGACTAATAGTCAGCAACCCAGTTGACGATTTTGTGGTTGATACCTAGGGATATAAGTTTTTCTAATAATAAATGATGCGGCACGGTATCGAAGGCTTTACAAAAGTCTAAACATATACAATCTACACGTTGTTTGTTGCCAATAGCATTCGAAACAAAATGGGTGAATTCCGCCAGTGTGTGACACACGAGAAACCACAACAAAATCCGTGCAAACCTAAAAAAAAAAGCTAGGATTAAATATATATATATATATATATATATATATATATATATATATATATATATATATATATATATATTCGAAAAGCTTACAAGTAATACACGTAAGTGACACTGGGCGATAATTTTTTACCAGGTCTCGTGATCCGGACTTAAAAACCGGAGTCACATCTGTTTTTGTTTTTTTCCATTCACTCGGACGCACAATGCAATCTAGATCGAAGTATGAAATCGAGCACACACTTAGACAATGTTCAACAGGCTAATACCTAATTATCAAATTTGAAGCTTAAACAGAAATGGCAGATACATTTAGATCCAAAGTTCAATCATGCATGAAACATCTTTGCTTAGAATACATGCACCAAACAGTCACCGGTTTCACAGCGCGCAATTAGCACACACACAGCGCACAATTAGCATACACATTAAACAAAACACACAGACCGCGCTGAACTCACAACTGTGTTTTTTTATTGTCTTTGTTTTCTTCTTTGTGGAAGAAAATTTGTTCTCTTGTAGAAGAAAAAAGAAAAAAAGACGAAACTACAAAATAGAGTTGTGAGTTCAGCGCGGTGTGTATGTTGTGTTTTGTGGTGTCGGTAACATGTTCAACCAACTCGGCCAAGCGGCACTTTTCACAAGAATAAAGAGTCGTTTCAGGGAACAAAGAACGTATTATTTATTCATATTTCAGTGAACTACATTGTGAACATTGATGTCACCTGAGACCATGGTATCGTACGCGACACCACGAGTCAACACTGTGACATCATCGCGTGATGTTATGGTATCATGCCGTGGTGTCACGTGATATACCATGACGTCACATGTCGTCAATGTCCCTCCGCTAAATTATCGAGGGAGGGCATTACAAAACTTAATAGTGACCCATTGCTGGCAGTCAAACCATCAGTACACTTGAGAATCCTTTATCTTTACAATTTACATCTAATGTAAATATGCCACAATACCCACACAAAAAAAAAAAAGAAGCCAAAAAAAGAGATAATATTTGTTGGCATTCTTGGAATTCGCATCAATTATATAATGTACTCAGTAATGATCACCGATGCGATATAACCGAAATTAGTTTTCAACACTGAAACCGTCTGGGAAGCTGCGTTAGCACAGAAAGGAGAAAGTTGGCTCCGCGTCTTCGTTTTAAATCTCAACGTACTATCTAAAAAAAAAGAGAAAAAAAAAAGAAGGTCGTAACCAGGTGAAATCGCTTTGCGATCGACGGCTTATAGAATGCGACCTCGTTTTTTTTATTATTTGTTCCCTACCTTTACAGGTATGGAACTATTTTCCCCATTACGCCAGCGACCTTGCTGAAAGATAGATAAGCGCGAACGCGTCACAGACCATGAATCAAGCCTTATATATGATATCGTTTGCATAGCGTAAGCGTGCAATAAACCAAATAACCAAAACGCATTTTTTTTTGTACATAGATCTGGAATTAAAAAAAAAAAGATAAATTTATTGGAGGTTTTCGATACTATTATTTAGCATAAAAATAAAAAAAAAGAAACACAGAGTTACATCTCGAAAAAGCATACTATGATACTGTATACAGCGTGAAAAATTGTAATAAAATAAATAAATAAATAAACAGCTTATGCTTAGGCTGGAATTCATTACACGTGACTGCCACGAACGCTGGGACGATCTGCGTCGTTGTAAAATTAACCTTTAGCTAACTCAATAGGAAGTTTGCGCGTTGATCATCACGCGGTCAATTTCGAGTGAGCTCCACGCTTTGACCGTCCACGCGGGGTCTTCCTTGATTTCGCAACAAGGACGACGTCCTTTCTGATACGACACAGACTGCATCCTACGATTCCTCGTCGCGCCATGAAGACACAATCGCCACTATACCTCTCTTCGAGACAAAATAACAAAGACAAAAATAAAGTCTAAATCTGCGCGAAATTCGGGATCCAGACGCGCGAAAGTCAAAGATCGACCGCGGACGTTACATCGCAACCTGTCTCTCCGAACAACAGCAGCGGACTGGATAGTGTAAATGGCGAGTTTTGACTGACAGCTTAAGAAAAACAGGGCGTGGCGAGTCCCGTGCATCTCATTATCTTTCCGCAACCAATGAGATTGCGGCGTTAGCCGAAAAAGAACGCCAAAGAACCAATCACGAAGCAAGAAGCGTGAATTAACATTAACGTTTCTTAAATGGACACTGACGGGGTATTTATGCTCGCCGAGGTTTTTATTTGAACGTGACCTATATGAGCTGCCCAACTACCCAGAATTCGTTTACTTTCCGCCCGAAAACAGCCGTGTCGTGAATCGGCCGGTTTCAGTCGCGCTCACTCTCTTTTCCATGGTCACGTGGCGTTCAAACGTCGTGTGCCAAATATATTCAAAGTCGCGGGTCATCTAAGGCACACGTTCAATATTAAAATTCGAAAAAAAATACGACCACCATTTTTGTGGTCTCCAAGAAACTGCAAATACGTAGACGAAAAAAAAAAAAAAAAGTGGCACATATCATAGGTGTATGTCCTTCTCAATATGACATTCTCGATAGTGCAGCGCGTTAATATTCCTTTTGGTTTCCCGACCTTGTCCTCTTAACGAACTACGAACCGCGTGTTAACCTAGGGAACCTTTCAAGGGCCACTTTTAAAGCGTTTCGTTTAGTTTTCCCAGTTCTTAAGCGATCTGAATTTTTGCATCAGATTCGGAGAAACTTTCGTGTGAAACAATAAAAACAATTTGATTCGGGATAAACCAGTCACTCGTCGGCGTTACGTTGGGAGTATAAACACGTCGAAGCGCAACGAGGCACGAGCTCTTCCAAGAGGAAAGCCGTCACGCACGTGGACCCTACAGATCTTGTTATAATAAACGACATCGTTCTCCGCAACTATGATCGCGGCTAAAACTAAGCGAATCTTTCTTGCCATGTTTCGATGCCTAAAAAGCAAGACAGGCACAAGTTCATGTGATCATCTCGATTTTTTTTTTCGCTTTACGACAAGAAAAATGAAGCAATCGCTCCAAGAAGCACACGCGTGGAAAGGTAGCCCACGACGCGACCAGCCTCATAGTCGCTTGTGTTTTTATTCCGGAGAACAGACATGCTGCAACGCTCAGACGATCCGGCCAGGAAAACGAACAGACAGCAGAAAAAGAAAGAAAGAAAAAAAAAGCCGCCAAGTGGGAGCCTAGTGCATGCGCAGTTCAGATATCGCCCATGGCAAGACACCCAAGGCTGCAGGCAGACTGGTTCCCCTCCTTGGCGGACGCTTGGCAGACTCTATCGCGCGCTCCGCTGGTCCAGACGCTGTTGGAGATCGTCCGGCGAGTCACCGTCGGCGCTTGGAGGCTATTTCCACCCTGGGACTTCCTGTGACACAGGTCAGTCAGTAGGCGATCGCCGACAAACCATAGCTCACTACGTCCCCCTAAAAAAACCCAAGTGTGCAATATCAGCAAAACTGACTTCGAGCCGAGGATGCTCTTTATCGGGTCACTCGAAAAAGGGCATCCTCCGCTCGCATTCCTCCTTGTGCCGCGTTTTATGGCGTTCAGTACAATTTGAACTTTTTTTTCTTGACATCATTCGCATTTTTCTGTTCTTTTTCTTCATTCTTGTTGCAGCTTGATAGCATGCCTCTGGGATACTTCTGTCGGTTCAAATTACGCGTGTCATTAGGAACTATCGGAGCTCAAAAGGACGGAACCAGTGTCGAGGGGGGGCAGTACAGATCGCTTGTGCCAAACGTCAACGCTGTCAATGCAATGCACTGGTTTGTGAAAACAGAGTCCCTCTGGCTTTTTGTGTTAATTATTCTGTTATTAAGAGAAAAAAATTAAGGAAATTACCCGGCTGGAGTCGTGGAAAGTCTGTGAAAGCAAAGGGCGGAGGGGTTAGGAGGAAAACTGTGCGAACGCGATCTATCGTTCACTCGGCAAACTTGCATCACATTTTGAACGAACAAGGCTCGACTTCATACAAAGTTATGATGTCAGCGTCAGCTGGCATAATACTCAAACGACAACAAAAATGAAATGCGTCCTGTTGGAAATTATTTACGTAGCTGACTACCAAAGGGATTTCGGGGGTGGTTTATCAATAATTACGAGTCACAATAACTACTCAAATTCAAGGTGTTTCAACGATTAACGTTTCAATCACGAAAGCAACCTTGCGAAACGTTTGGTGACATCTCGGAACGACATCTTGAGATATAATGGGTCTCTCTGGACAACTCAGAAGTTGAACTATTGCCCCAACGGTTCTGGTTCTGAGCTCATTCCTTATCTGTGCTGTCCGCTTGTCACTGCGAAAAGGCAGTAGGAATTCATTTTGATTACATTTTCGGTATTTCTGCGTATCACACATTCATGCTGCGCGGATTCCAAATTTATCGCGTTGATGTGGAGTAGCAGACATGCCTTATTGCACCGATGCCGCGAAGTCCTCAGTCGTGGCGATTTGTTCTGCGGACATTGTACTTTCTATACAGTGTTTTCTTGGCACAGTAAAGCTACATCAAGTAGTACAGGACTGCCCGTGGCTGCTTCATACTGCGCGATACATGATACGTGGTATACAGTGCAGTTGTACTCACTGACTAAATTTTTCATCACGTAAACCAGTGTCGCCACTCCTCAAAGGAAGACCGAACCTCAAAGGCACACTGAACACGAACGTCAAATTTTGTTTTAGTATTGAATGGCGCTTCAAATGACGTAAGTGCACGGAGGTATGAGACATATCTATTACGAAAGTGCTCCTTCTCTAAAAGAAAGAAAGAAAATATATAACACGCAACAGAATGCTACAGGTGGCATTTCCTAGTATAATATTATATTGATACCCTGGTCTTCAAGGCAAATAAATTATGATGATGATGATGATGAGTATAAGCTATTTCAAAATGTGCTCACTTAATACCTTACCACAGCACAGATGCCGGAGCCTAAAACTTTCAACACGTCATGAGCAGCGATCAGCAGCCCGGGGATAGGAAGCAATAAAAATCATGTGCCAAGTTTGAAGAAGTGTTGAAATATCGAACGGGTGGACTGTTACTCAATATATTTCGTCAAGACAAAAATTTTTTCATGTTGAAATCATCTTAAACTGAATAAGAAAAAAACAACATTTAAACAAAAGTTCTCGCGACCGGAATTTCGTTTGTATATGTACATGGTATATTTTTTTTTTAACAATGATAGGCAAGCGTTAGTTTGTTTCGTTAATAAATATAATTGTACTGAATAGGAACACCCAGCATTTTTGGGCTCTCACAGCAATTGTGAGCATGCGTTTTATTTTTTTTTTCATGCGCGGAGTATTACCATATGTGTTGCCACTTCAAGAAATAGGCCTCTTGCTCGTTCCCCGCGCGAAGTTGTAATTGCAAGATTTGATCATCACTAATCAGAAGTGCAAAGAAAAAAACAAAAACGATGATGTTTGCGTTGAAACGTGTACGTTTTGATAAAATAACAAATATATGACTTAAATTCACCATGAGGTGAAGTACCGCAAGAATCCAAACTTTGTTCTTTTCTTTTTTTTACTAGAGAGTGGGGGGGGGGGGGGGGATAAAAGAGAGACAGAGAGAGAGAGGGAGAGAGAGAGAGAGAGAGAAGGAGGGATGAACGAGTAGGTGTACGTTTACTAAATGTTTACTATACTGGACGTCAACAATTGTGAGTGTCATTGTCTAGGCTAGCGTAGCTTCCACAGCGCCGCAGCCCCGTGTTATGAGAACAAGGGGGTTCCCGTTACGTCTCATTTGGAGGCGCTCTCGTGCCAGGGGCACGCCTAACGAAGCCACGCGCTCGTGAAAATAGCTTTGGCAGAGTTGGAACCACGACCGGGTTGGAACATTGTCCTTGACAACGTAACACAAAACAGGTAACGCCAAAATATAAACCTTGAAAAGAAAAAGAAAGGGGGGGGGGGGGGGGGGGGGCTTTTGGCCGCTTCCATTTTCAGTGTTTTTTGCGTATAAGGCGCGTGATTTGCTCGCTTTCCGAAGCGACAAACGTGCGCGTGCTGGGCTGAGGAGATCGCACGCTGGCCTGAGGAATGGAATGGTGTATAGGACGTTGGGTTAGATCTCTCATTTCCGTGTTCAACGGATGCGGAACTCAGCAGTGCGAACGTGATATCCTGGGCGCGTTAGCGGTAGCTTGCCGCCGCGGTACTCACACGAGACAGTATCTGGTTGTCCTAAATTTCGAGGTTGATCTGCCTTGGCGTACTGCTATGTCCAGCAGCACAGCGGGAGTCCTAAAATTCATCGTCGCGAGAAAACGGGTCGTAAGCTCGCTTTTTGAGCCGCGAAGTTTCGAGATATGTCATCGAAAGAAAACCACAGGTTCTTCCCCCTGTAGGTTTCCCACTGCTGCTACATCATACAAAATACACCCTGCAGGCACTGTCTCATGAGTGTTTATTCCTTGTATCAGGGTCCTGCCACATTGGGCATACAAAAACTCTAAAAAAAAAAGAAAAAATTTTATTTCCCCTTTTTTTTTCTTCAATATTATATAGTGCATTTTGTCTCACGAATGCACTTCCGTGCTTGTGAGAAAGGATAGGCAACCCGTGAAATGATATTACATAACTTTCTAAAAGGACACATGTTCGAAGCATACATATGGCTGTGAAGCAAACATGCTTCGGCAAATGCTTGAGGCGTGTCCGCACATACTTAGGTCACTATCTGTACAAGAAACATCCTGTCTTTTGTAGGATGACGGGCATGTGAATTGTGCGAGAACTGAGCAGCGGAACGACATTGAGCGTTGCATTTCAAGCCCTGCAAAACAGAATCAGAAAACCGAAACAGTTCCAGGTTCGAGAATGCGCTTCATAATGCCTCGTTTGAAAACTCCTTGGTCTTTCTATGACAGTTTCTCTTATAGATGCTTCTTCTTTTTTCGTTTTTTTTTCTTTGCCACACGCGCTTTGTTTTAGCAAGAAATGGTTATACTACTATATCCAGATCATCTGATTACTTGTGGTCCTGAGCCTGGGTGGTTACGAGAGTAAATCTATTGAATGAAACCAACCCTTCATGAAACTCGAATATGGAGCAATAGTAACCATGCTCGTTCCGAAACAAACTGGCGATAAAACCGCAATGTGAATACAACCGAAGAGCCATCCATATAGAAACTTGGGTCTTTAGTACTTCACCACACAATGCCTGGAGCAGTGGCGTCGGGAGTGTTTGTGAGATGGAGGGACGACAGGGTGGGTGTATGTGGTGGTGGTGGTGGTGGTTTGGGGGGGGGGGGGGGGTAGTTAGACAATAGGGACAATAAAGAAAAATAATATTCGCAACAGAAACGTTTCTTTCGAGTGAAAGTACCTACAGGTAGTCCCCGGCCTCTCATGAGATGATAAGTCCACTTTTGATTTTGGTGGTATTTCTCGTCTTTCACGTAGACGTTCCCAAACAAAGGGAACATAGGGAATACGATTCATCATCGGCCGTCTTCAATACGTTTAAAACTAAAGCGTACTTGTTTTGTTGTACCCAAAGCTAAATAATGTTTTGGGGTTTTTCTTTGTGTAGTGGGAGACTGATTTACAGCAGGAACTGAAAAATGAAATGATTTAAATTATGAAGAGGATCGCGATTTAAAATTTTAGATCATTCTGACTTTTTCTCTTCTCCCTGGCCTTAATCCGAAAACGTGCCGGCGCAGACATGACAGAGGAGCGGGGACTTGTTCGTGTTGCCGGATACATTACAAGGTCGGAAACTGGTCGCGAACCGACCAAGAACATCAAGATGACGTCTATGTGTAGTCAATGACAAATACAAATGATAAGCCACGCCCTAGGTCGCGGCCATGTGGCACAGTGGGGCTTGCAACAAGAATCACACGTGTCAACGATAACAGTTACAAACAATCAGCCCCACCTTACACATCCTCCATGATTCTTAGCAAACGTGTAGGTTGTTGACACGAACGATTCTTGCTGCAAGCACCATTGTGACGCATGCATAACCGCTGTGTAAGGAGCGGCTGATCCTTCACTCTAAGAAATGCCTGGGCTTCTACTTGCCCACGAAACACTCAAAGAGCCAATCTCTGGGATCTACGAAATTAGCTCAGCGAATGATGAGGCGGAACATCCGTTTAGATCTAAAAACGACGTCGGCGCTGTGGCATTATACGCAATGCAAAACGTCATGTTTGCATTGCGTAATGCCACAGCGCAGACTTATTTTTGGGGTCTACTTAAACAGATGCTCATCCTCATTCTCCGCTGAGCTGACTTCGTAGATCGCAGAGATGAGCTTTTTGAGTGTTTTGTGGGTAAGTAGAAGCGCAGGCATTTCTTATACACCAACTCAACTCTCCTACGTCACGCCGCGGTG